CTTTGGCTCCCACACATGAGATATAAATGCTAGATTATGTAAGGTGGTGGGTGCTGTAAGAACATCTGCCAATTCGTTAGGGAAAAAATTAAGCTTCTATTCTTTCTTTCGACATGCCTCGTTTAGAAATCGGTTTATTTTAGTTGATTTCGAAATATTATTATTAAAAAATGGAAATTAAATTTGATATATATTTATTTAACAAGGGAAATAAAGGCTATTCAATTATCTTCCAAGGCTGAGAAAGATATGACAAAGATTGTAATTACAAGAATTAGACCTTTGAATACTTCTTTGATGAGTCATAAATTATTTTGTGGTCTAAATCCCCTATTCTGTAGCTCTAAATATAGGAAAAAAATATTTAATTCGTTACTGTCAAAATTTTAAATTATTACAAAAGAGAGATAACTGATGTAAATATAACAGTTTATTTGTTATAAATATCAATATTAATAGTCATAATAAGTTAAATTCTTGTTAAATTAATAAGGAATTTGATCTTTTATATTAAGTATTAACTTAAATAAATCTTATGTATATAAACTTTACACATAATTCTATTAATATAAACTGTTATGGGCTTATTTATAGTAATTTATTTGTATTATAGAAGTTAAATAACTATGAAAATATATTATATACACAATTAAATTGCTGATTGTATATTCTTTTATGCTTTATTCAGTACGTGAATTGTATCAATTAAAAAATATTTAATTAATAATTAATTAATTAAATAATTCAGTATAGTTTTATATCTAAATTACAAATATATAAACAGTTTATAGGGCTATAAATACTGTATAAAACTGTATAAAATAATGTTATAGGCCTTCATTTGTTTGATATAAAAGCCATAAAGACCAAGTTAGATAACACACAAAAATAAATAAATAAATATAACACTGTACAATAATAGAACAACATAGAGCAAGAAATACTTAATAATTAACTAAATAATTGTATAATATACGTAATAAATTTTAAAAAATTGATTTATATAAGAAATAAGTATATACGTAGGCAGATAGACAAACAGACAGTTTAAATGAAGAACCGAATCATTAGAAGATGAGTTAATTTATGAATTTTTATGTTACGTAGAGAAGAGTCATTTTTTTATACTTTAATTTTGTAACTTACATTATCTGATTATACTAAAATTACTTTCTTAATTATATAATTGACGAATTTTAAATTAATACAAGTTATTATCATCCAGCAAGGATGAAAATATAGCAGAGGGAAGCATAATCTAAGTAGAGAAACGTTTAAGTAAGTTGTATTTAAATAGTATTATAATTAATTAACTTTACCATACTTTATTTATTATTAAATAGTACGAATTATAATAATTTTGGGATAATTATTTGCCGAATATATTGATTTTCATGTAACACCAAGAGGTGTTTTTATAACCGTATTACTTACAAAATATCGATTTGAAGAAGAGTATTAAACAAAGTGTAAATTAATTAATAGAATAATTTTCTTCAATTAAAAAACTAATAAATAAGGTTATTTATAAGTCTAAATATCGAATAATTGCGATCTTTTCTACATCGCTTGCTCTTCTTCTTTTTATAAATAGAATCAGTATTAAGTCTGTGGATAACTAACCTATTTATAAAAGTCTATCGCATTTAATTTTATATAAAATTATAATAAATCTATATAAAATTAATTTAAGTCTTCTTTTCGATATTAAAGTTTATTTTAAGTACAAAAAAAATACAGACAAATACAGTATAGAAAAAAATTAAGCGTAAATTACATTAAGACATAAAATATGCAATGTATTCCATATATAAACACGAATTTTCTGTATAAAAGTCTACGTTTAAATATAAAATAAACTTTTTAATTGTAATATAAAGTCAAACCTCCGAACGACATAAAAAAATGTCTGTTATTAAAAGGTGGACGTTATCGCTGGTTCAATTGTATTATGGATTTTCAAACCATTTTAAATGTAGAATAGATAAATTAAATAAAATTTCGAATTAAGAAGCGCTCATTGCAATAAAGATAATAGAAAATTTATGCTCTTGGATTAATTAAGTTCAATTCTTACTCGATTAAAGTACAAATTATTGAATTAAACTGCAAGGAAATTCTGTAAGAATGAAGAAAAAATAAACAAACCTATTTTTTGCTATTAGCAATATGAATTAAAGCAAATAATAAATTGGCAATTGTTGGATTTCGTTTGATTAATTAAAAATTTAATTTAAATATTAAAAAATTCAAATTAAAACTAAAGCTTATTGGGATAATCTGATAATCTTGTCTATTAATTTTAAGCCAAAGTTTAATTAAAGTTTCATGAATAAATGAAGAAGTAAAGAGATAATTTTTATCATTAATTATTTGAATTTTTTTGTCATTTATTTCTAGCGAAATGTACTTTTAATTTACTTTAAAATTTTCTTAATAATTTACTTAAATATTTGAACAATGATGTGCCAAATCGTATAACTTATTCATTCATTTAGACTATTTTTCTTCTTGTTATTTTTCCAAGTTCATATAATTAAGTGTTGTTTAGAAAGTACAGCGTAGTGCTTTGTTCTTTTCCATTGCCCTTTGCTACATCCCGAATAGTGTCGAAATCTATTTCAGGGTACCACATTACATTAAACTCGCGTGTCTTTTCGTTAAGACAAGTTAGAAATTAAACAATTTACTCTACATTTAATAATAACATCTCTAAATCACTAAAAGACAGATAAATTCGTAGGTGTTTCAAATGGCAAATTCCAACCCTACTAGGCTATAAATCTAATATATATTTTACTTTTCAATAGAAGAAAAGTCGAAATTTGTAATAAAATCTTAAGAAAATTATTTTATATAAGTCCTAATACTTATTTTTTTATTTATTTTTTTTAACTAACACAAGCAGAGAGAAGCGTAAACAATATTTACACCCATTAAATTCAAATGTATATTGTAATTATTCCGCTCAGTTATTGGTTTTCTTTAATGGATTTTAGAGGTTTAAATAATCAAAATCATTGTTTTGATTATTTAAATGCTTAAATAAGAGATTTTATGTTTATATTGGCTATTGATCCTTATTTAGAAATTAATTCGGTAAAAATAATCGCGTGTTTAAAGCAATTTATTTCGTATAAAAGAAGAGATAAAATTACAAGTTAAATAATTATTATGCAGACTTATATTTGCAGTTATAAAGCTATATAATAAGTACATATTGCTGGTGTTTTTCCACGTAAATTAGTGTCATTGAATGACTTAAAAACGAATTGAATTGGTTTGCATTACTTAAAAGCCAAGTGTTTTATAGTCTTATTATTTTCGATAATTCTCATTTACTGAGCCTGTCCTCAGGCTTTTTTTTTTATAGAAAATAGAATAATAATTTATTTTTTAAAGTGTTAAATAGAATCTTTTTAGTGTTTAGTGACATATTTTAAATAGTAACGAATGCATTAAAAATCGTTATCTGCCGCAAAAAGTAGTTAAAAAAAACCATTAAAATAATTACTTTAATTATAGAAAATATTTTTATTTTTAAATATAGCAATTAAGTAAATTAACTAATTATTAATTCTTTTAGTTTTAATTATTTAGTTTCGTTAGTGGAGAAGAATCGTTGATTGATAAAAACCTTTTGCTGAGATAATATTTATATGAAAAGAATATACAGTTTATCTATTCATAGCAAAAAAAAAAAAAACTTAATATAAATCACGTCAGGTATTAATAAATTAGAATTTAATAAAGGATTTTATTTTTACACGCGAACATCTTGACTTTTTCTTCTTAGTAATGGAGGTGTTTAATGATGGATTTTTTGAAAAATTGAGAAAGAACTTTAAAAAAAATACTTTCGGATTACGAAATAACTATTTATTTAGACTGTTTTTGTTCTTAAATAACAGATGTCTTACCTAGCATTTCACTAGGAAGAGCGCGAGTGCATAAAATAGTCATTGTGGGTGACAGTAATAAAATACACAGGAAGTAATAACAATCTCATCAAACACACTTCAAAATAACAAATGAGCAATACAAGAACAATTTCAGTATTCCACACGTTCAGCAATGTTTTTGTTGAAAGGCATTCGAGAAATATATATATATATATATATATATTTTTTTTTTATTTATATTTATATACATAGACACAGTATTATCACCGTTTTTTTTTTTTATGTGGGGGGAAGCAATTCATTTCTAAACACGAATGAACGGATGATGTCCGAATTTTAGGACTTTTTATATATTCGTATCTAATTTTTTAACAGGCTTAGAAGCAATCATTCAACGAGTGGAAAGAACGTGGCTTTCCTTCTAAAAAACGTATGAAGGAAATTTGAGCAAGTCTAGAACAGTCCGATGTACCCCTGAGTAATTCTCATAAGGCCTACTGGAAAATGCCTAGCAATGCACTGCAGCCCTACTGAAGAGGATTATGGTACAATAAATAACATTATGCCTACGTAACACTGAATGGCACAAATGTTTTTTTTTTTTTTTTCGAATTTAGTCGAAAAGATGAGGTTAAAGATTGTATTTTTTAAATGTAACAGCATTTTAAAATCGCATCCATATTATGAATAACACATAACTTTAATTATTATTATTATTATTATTATGTTGGGTTTTGTGAGTATTATTATTATTATTATTATTATTATTATTTTCTTTCGAAGGGGAAATTCGAAAATGGTTCCCCTTGTTTTTCAAGGGCGAGAATTTTCGTGCAACGTGTTATAGGCTAANTTCTATCAGCATCTCACGTAATTCAAAAAATAAATTATCTTATAATAAAATAGCTTCTGAGTATTATTATTATTATTATTTTCTTTCGAAGGGGAAATTCGAAAATGGTTCCCCTTGTTTTTCAAGGGCGAGAATTTTCGTGCAACGTGTTATAGGCTAAATTAAAAATTCCGAACATGCTATGGCTTATAACGTAACAACAATATTACCCGTACACAACATAGGTATTATTGGGAGCTGCCATACATAATTAGCCTGAAAGAGATCTTCCCGAGAGGAAGGAATAGAGCCTATCGAAGCCATGTGGTATCGCCGTCTCAATTTTTTATTTTATTTTATTTTTTTTGTTTTTTCCTTTTTTTTTAATTATTCTCTTGGAATCCCTTGAGCGTCCCGAAAAACCTGTACACAACAAATAACAAACAACAATAATACATACAACATTTCGTAAAGAAGGGGAAGCCGTTTGGCACAAAACTGAAACACGATTATATTACATTTGAAGATTAAATGTACCTCTCTTGGAATTCTTACAGGTAGAATGAGCAATTACATAGGAGTATTAGATGTCCAGGACACCTCTTGGTCGATCTAGGGGATTGTCCATAAAATAATGTTCTTCTCTTTGAGTAAATAAAACTAATCATCCATTTGAGTCAGGCACTGAATCACATAGACTGTTCCAAAGTGTATCCACTGGCTAGGCACCTTACTTAGATGCACTCCAATCCATCCAAATGTTTGGAAATTCATCTACCGATCATTACTTCTTTCTAATTTCTGTAAAATAAAATAAAAATACGTTACGTTAATTTTGAATGGAATGCTTACATTTTCTTAAATGTATACAAATATACTGAATTAGTTTAGTAATTTTATAGTGTAACGACTGGTTAAAAGAATTTCTGATAATGGGATAAGGCTTTGATATGGCTTAAATCAATCACGCAATACATTTTTGCACTTCAATTTTCGTTTTAGATCCACTGTTGTATTTATATTAATAATCCAATTAGTATAGCCTATATAATACGAGAATCTCGTCTAATTCAAGCCTATTTCTACTTAATTATTTATATTGAAACTTTATATTTATTACTATTAAATTATATAAGAAAAAGTTTAGAAGAAAATTAAATAAGATTTGTTTACCAGATATTTTTTCCATATTTAATATTGAAGAGAGAATGATATAAAGTCAATTTAAAACATGTATAATTTATGTATAGATATGAAATTTTGCCTTAAAAACAGTAAAGAATAAGAAGCAAAACGCAATAATTTGAAGAAATTACGGACTGATACAAAATAATGTACATTATTAAATCAATTTGACGTCATTTTTTACAGTTTTCTTACGTAAATGTATCTGATAAAGACGTCATTTTGACATAAAAGTGTACACTATTTTACACAAACAAGTGTACCTTTTGTATTACAATTTTCAATACTTAAAAGTTGTATCAAATAATATTTATTACCTGGAATTATATAGAATTTTATATAGAATTCTTATGTTAACTTAAACACTTTCTTCACTAATATATTTCAGAAATTTATATTCATTTATATATTAAAAATAGAAGTAAATGTATACGTAACGTTTCACTTGTTATGTAGTAAACTATATCGAATCGTATACATAAACGAAAGGTTTTGTTCTGTGGAAAATTCACTGCAACTGTTAAGGATGTAATTATGCTAACGTTGCCAAATAAAACAATATCTTTATTCGAAGTAGGTTAGAAAGATCTTTACACTTCACACTCCAACTAAATAAAGATGCCTCTTTTAAAAAATTGACATTAACCCAACACTCGAATTCTGGGACAGAAGTTTGGAGCGAAACTAGAAAGGAGCGAGGGCGAAATCATTAACGAGCTAATTTTACTTCTCATAAGTCCACAAAATACGTCAACAAGGCTTTCGGAGGCCATCCGTCGATTATGTATAGCTGGCAGACATAATGCAACATATAATAAGTGAAGTGTATTGGCGCCACTTGGTATGTGACCTCGTCTTCACGTGACAAATAGGGGCGTTGGTAGACGTCTGGTTCTGCAGGCAAAGCTCTTCCTCTTGCTCGTCCCAATAATGTTTAATTCGATTCGATATCCACGTCGGGATTTCGAACCTTAACCTCTTCCTATATAAACTAGCTGGAAGACTTATATATGCTTTAAAAACATATAGGAGTATATTATTTTTCAAAACCACAAAATAGATTTTCTCTAATGGCTTTAACTAAATAGAGATTCCCAAAAGACTAATCGCTAGACAACATCTTTTATCGTAACAGGATATGTGACAGGATTAGCTAATCAATAATCTAGAGAGCTTTCATTCTAAAGGCTTGAAGCCCCCTGAAGCAGGATTTATCTCATTCGTAAGGTTTCATTCATCCTATTAGAAATTAAGTATATTTGAATTGGGGTTAAATGTCGCCGGAGAAACTGCTAGTTCGAACCTTGTTCCAATACGTGAGGGTTTAATCAGACACACCTCCCCCACAGGCGCCCTTTTTTTCCCTTTTTTTTTTTTTAGCCGGTTCTTCCAGTCTTCCTCTTACTTTGTAAAATTAACTACTTCCTGAGAAACCACCTGTCGTTCATCACGACACAAGACCCGGTCGGAGATGAATCTTCAGCTTTAGATCGCCTCTGACAATTTTTTTTTTTAAAGAAAGCCAAAGAGTTATTATTCTCAATTATGAACATAAATAAGTTTTCTTTCTTTTTTCTTTTTAAATAAACTTTTTATACATCTCATTAAAAATCGAGTTACACAAAATCACTTATAACTTTTCAATGGAGAAGATAGACTCAATCTCATCAGATCTTTATTATTATTTCTCTTCTTTAAGAAAACTTCTAAATAACTTTTTATTAGTTTGAATTAATAAAGAAAAAGAAAAAAAATTTCTCGGTTGTATTTTCTATTGTTGTTTTTTACATCTTAGCTTCAGAAATCAAACAAGAACAAAGAAATCTCCGAGACTCTTCCAATTTTACGACCTAGGTGCTAAACACTTAAATTGCACTTAGAGCTATCCGTGTAAGCTGGGAGTAAGCCGAGTGGCCAACTTCGACCCCACCCCTTGCCAAGGCAACTGTCTCACGCAAGCAATGGTATGTGGGACGATAATTGCTGCTAGCCCGAGAGCAGCCTCCTGATGTCCTGACTCTCCTACCGGAGGCCATCCCAAACGCGTGGCGATTTAGGGGGATACAAAGGAGACACTCCATACTCTATGAAACAACCAAAATACTACTTTAAACTTGCCGACCAAAATCAAACTGTCTCATCGTTTTATTGTATAATCTACAAAGTTCAAACGCTTTCGTACTCCATAGATTTTAACAGCTCGCTACTCCCCTTCGACTGATCTAAAGGTTAACTTAATTCGACATAATTTCACCCTGTTATTTTGATCCATCTTCGTATTTATATTTTAAATTAATAAGAAATAATGTCTACGCTCTAATTTCTTTCTCATCGAATATTATAACTAGAGTAAACTTTCTAAAATTATCTTAATTTAAGAAAGGGACACAGGCCTGCCAGTGTTATTAATAATATAGCGATTTGATTTATTAAGAGCCACTTTACAGCTTAAAAATTATATTATTAATATAAATATACACGAAATATGAGAAAATTATATGAAATTTTTGAGGTAGATTATAGCATAATTGATAGCTTTAAGTTACTACTTACTGCCCTATAAATGAACATTACATTGCCTTAAATCGCTTCAATTTATTCTAATAAATTTAATAAGTAATAAAAAAATAATACTAGACCTTAAATGTGTTTAAAAAATCAATAAAATACAATTTTTGTATTGAAAATAGGCTGAGAAAGTATTTGTATTGAAGCGTAGATCGGCTTTAAATGTACTGTATTGTACAGTACATTTGTAAACAGTATAGTTCTACATCATTCAACACAAATATCATTGATAGTTTCTTGTTAACTAAATCGATAACTTACGATTATATTTTGTAGTAATTTACTATAAAAAAAGAGGGGATTATATCTAAGTTAAAGTATTAAAGTATTTTATCTAAGCAACTATCAGGCATATGTGTAGACTACGTAAATACTATTATTAGTCTATAATATAAGTATAAGCTTATTTGTATCTATAATACGAATCATATGCTGGATATTTGTTTGTCATTCAAGCATAAGAGTATAGAGATCCTGTAAATAGACTATTCTATTGTTTTAATATAGATAAAAGTGGAAGAAACATTAATTTATCCTGAAGGATTACTATCTGCATGGGGCTATTTTAAGGGAAATATAATTTGGAAATTAAATGAGAGTTATTTATAGAATAGAATTGGAATTCCATTCTATAAACTACCAGCATCTCTTTCTCCTCTACCGATCAGATTAGGATGTTTTTTTTTCTTTTTTTTTTCGGATTAAGTATAAATTTATGGACCAAATCGAACAAAAGGAGACACGTCTAGCATAACTAAAGGCATAAGTTCAAGTTTATATATCGCATGTCTTAGTGAAATCAATAGGAAAAAAAGAAATAAAAGCATTCTAACACAAATTTCAAGCGTATGCTTTCATATTTACGTGCATTTGATGAATCTTTTACTATAAATAATGCATATTAATCTTTTAATATCCTTCAATTATCATCTCTGAATTGATATTATAATAATTTCGGTAAAGGAGAGAATTAAATAATGGTTTTCGATTTAATCTTAATGAAAATCACTGCAAGAAATCGGCTTAACTTTAATGAAAATCTATGGAAAAGAAGGAAATAATTGCTAATAAAAATTGTTTCTCATAGTATTAAATTCAGCTTTAATATTAAAAACATTTCGAGTGATACGTCGTGTTCTAGTTTATAATATTTATACAATTCTGTTTACAATTCTACATTTGTCTATTTACAAAATAAAAAATACTATCGATCGTCTATACAGTTTATTAGCGTATAAATTCATATTCATTCTTATGCTAATGATAAATTATAAATGATCAAAAATAATATTAAAATAAACAGTTTATGGCTAGTATTTTATAATAATTTTTTTTCCTAATTTATATAACATAATAACTGTAGAATTTAAGTTTTAATTCTCCAAATGTGGCATGTAAACATGAAGAATTACATTGAACTTTTCATGATAAATAAATTGTACGATGATCTGTCGAAAATAAATAAGTAAAAATAACGTAAAATAATAATAAAATGAAGTGATTCAATGATTTAATTATTTATTTAACACGATAATCTGGAAATAATGAATTATAGATTCGTTTTCTACGCCATTTTAAGCTTATAAAATTAAATTATTGAATTAAAATTGCCATTTAAACAATTTAAAAATGATTATTTAAGATTCTTCTAACGAAAATGTAGCTTTTAGTATTGTTAAAACCAAGTTTATCGATGATTTAAATCGAATTTTGGCACGAAAAATACTCAATATTAGGCAAATCCTATTGTAACTCTTTATCTTACTCATTTCCTGATGTTATTTCTGGTCTGTTCATTATAATGCACTTTCATAAGATAAAAAGATAGAAAATACAATAATATAATAGACGATAATTTTAATAATTTCTGGATAAATGTGTAAAAATTTCCAATTTCTTTTTTTATAATCCAATTTTTTAAAACTTAATATCACACGAAACTCTTTTAAACTGTAAATTAATACGTAAAAAACTAATTTTTTTATACAGTTTCCCTTCATTTAATCCCTTAAATTAAAGAAAAACATTGAAAAGAATATGCCAAATCGATATTTATCTTTAAACATAGAAAATTTTAGTAACATTTCCTCTTGAAATATTCGAAATCCATTCATAATGGACACTCGGGATACCTCGTATGCTTTTAAATATATTAATTATGTTGAGGTAAAAACAGAAAAGAATGGCTGAGAATATTAATGATTTGTTACGCAGAAAACGATTACGATGCTCGTAGGTAATTACAGGTCTTCTGCCAAGACAATAATCGCTCAACCAGAAGAGATTCAAAGAATTACTATTAAGAATTTCACGAAAATGTCGCAGTTTTTGATCTTATAAAAACTGGACTTTAATCTTTTTATAAAATCTCTTCTTATGATCTTTGTTTTGGATTGAAGAAACGGGATACAATCATACAACGTTGATTTTTCTTCTTCTATCTCATAAACTAATCGCACAACCAAATAACTTTAATAACTATCTACGTTTAATTCAATTATTTTACGGATCTCAAACCATGAACTGTCTTACTATCCTCTTCTAGAAAAGATCAAACTGATAAGATGCTTGATCCATTAATATTGACATTAACATCCATAGAGGAATTCAATCTGTAATCGATGTTTTACAGAACTTTTGATAGATCTAGAAGTTTAGTAATTGATGTTTACTCTCTATAAAGAAACCAATCAACTTTTATAACAGTTTCTAATAAGGCCTTTACCGAAATTGCTCTTAACAACAACACGATCCGATTCCTCATTATTCTAAAAAGTATAATTTATAATCATATAATAATAATAATAAGCTTAAAATCCTATAAGCTTCTTATAATATTCTCGTATAAAATAGGGTTTAAAAAAAGGGCTTAAAATTCACGTGTTTATAAACAATTAACGAGGTAACATTTTTAATTTCTTATATTTTAATTTAATATAAAATTTAAAATTCTTGCATTTATTATATTAAAAGGATATAATTTACTAAACTGGAAAACAATAAATTCTCGTATGAAGAAGGGAAGAAAAGAAAGGAAAAAGGAAAGGAAAACGATGAAAAGTTTTTCTATAGCTAAACTAATGACGCGTTTGTACTCTGTATCACTTTGTTTTATTTTTACAATGGCAAGAATATCTTTGTTTCTAATTCTAGAGTAAGGAACGGAAGTGAATATTTTAATAAAAGTTACTCTAGAAATATAGTTGTGTTTACTTTTCAAGGTTACAGATAGCATTCAGTAACAAACGATAAATCTTTAGCAAACTTATCTATTTTTACGCCTACTACAGTAGATAATCATACTATATTTTATCTAAATGTTCTCGGCGTGCCTCCTGCAAACATGTTCAGTCAATTGTAGCCATTACAAATATCAAATTTCGTTCTGTCTTCACTACAGTTACATCACTTTCCTCGTTTTGTTCTGTATTAATCTGTTTTAATTCGGGTTTTTTTTTTAACCTTTAATTTATTAATAAAATATATTTTATTTTAACATAATTTTAGATTTAAACGTTAAGGTTTTCATGCACGATATTTTCCTATTGTTAACTTGGGATGTAAATAAATTACTTTAAAAACGTGCAAATTTATAAAGGAATTTACATGCTAACATTCTATAAAGAATTAAAAAAATGAAATATAATGTTATCCTGAAGTATAGAGATTTGTAATAAGGCTGATTTGTTTGAATTGTAACATGGAAAAGTATGTTAAAGATCGTAATAGTTCATCCATAAAGATGAATCAAAATTTGTCATTTTAAATCGATCGTAATATTGCATTTGTTATAATGACAAGGGAAAATAATGAGAAGTTTTTAATTTTATTAATTTGCATTAATTTTTCTTCTGAAACGACAGCTGGTAATTAGAACGTACCACTTGGAACAAGAGACGATTAGTTGGACTAATGGGCTGTATTCAATCCTGCAGAAAATAGCACGACTTCTTTACAACAAAGGATTCTACAGAATGATGCATCTTTCTATTCTTTTACTATTTTTAGCTTTAAAATGTGTCGAGTGATCAAAGGATTAAGACCGCTCCTAAAATACCCAGGCATCCGCCGCCGCCGCCTTCGCAAGCCATTCTCTTGATTGTTTGCCGTCCGACTTGGAAGTGGTTCAAAAGTCGCTGCTGCCCTCCTATTCTTAGTGCACCCTCAGAACAACACAGAAGAGGAATAGTACGTCTGGGAATCTCTTCTTTTTTGTATCTAACTTTGTCTTTATATTCGAGGAAGTGGTTGGCAAGTTCTGCTTTACCGAGACAAAACGCAGAACGATGTAATAGAAGGGGAAAAAAAAAGAGAGAGGGGAGGACATAACAAGCTTAACAAATCCCGTATTCTCCTATGTACTTAATGCTACATTTTTCGCTTTTCTCTTAAGTTACCAGAGAATTTTTCTTTTCTACTATATTTATTTTAACAATTTGTCTAATTTTAGAGGGTTTAAAGCTCGAATTATTCATTTCTAAAAGTGAAATAGGTACTCATGAAAGGCGAAAATGATCTCTAGTCGATGGAAGATTGTTCCTGATGAGCCATGCGTATCGTTAATGAAGTCGACACGGTGCTTATAGTCTGAATATCGACTAGTTTCATATGACTAATCCATTGGCAGGACGTCACACTTGGTGGTCGCTTCGAATAGCTCTCGAAACGAGATACATTTAATTCGTTGACATCCACACTTCAACCGCATCACGTGGTGCGCACAAACTGGTTTGTAGATGGGTGGCTCCACCTACTCTCCACGATTGGAGTCGGTATTGACTGCTGTGATCATGTCCCACCTCCACATCCATCCGTTTGGCTGGACGCTGACACGACAGGCATTTAATTACAGAAATTGCTCTGAACGACCAACGCTTTGCAACAAGGAGACAAACAAACGTTTCTCTTCTCTACCATCAATGCCATTTCGAATAAAAAAAATCCATCCATTGACCTTCTCACTGTTTATCAGTGAAAATCAATTTTTATCTTACATTTAAGAATTATGCAAAAGAAGCGACAGAAGAAATCCTTTTCTTTCCATTTCTATGATAGAAATTGACGTTTTATACGAAGAAGAAGATCTTAAGAGTGGGCAAATCTTTATCAGTTGCAAAGAAATAAACTGAAATATTAATATTTAACATGGAATTTCAGCGTGTTTACTTATTTATCCTTTTATCTTTTTTATGAATTAATTTGTAAAAGCGCTTTGCATCTATGAAAAATTTCAAGGTAGTTAAATGAAAAACTTCATATCTCGATTCTTAATGATTTTATCTTTACACGAGGAAATGTCATTTCTTCTCTTGCATGTAATAAACCTTATTATAATTTCATGTCTCGCAACGTAATGAGAAGAAACTTAGTCATTTACTTTCACAATTATAGGTCTAAATGTTTTAAACAGATCTTATCGTTAAAAAAAAATCGCTAATTTTCATTTAAGAGCATTATAATGACATTTCAATTTCACATTCATTTCATGAAGAAATAAAAAAGAACCCCACTTTACACTCGTTTGTAGAATAAACAGAAAATACCATCGCATACAACTCACAAATAACGTTAAGGTACTTTTGATTAGATCTTTTCTTAAAAAGAATTATATTAGATAACGATTTAATTTCTGTATATTAAAAAAAAAACACTTAAAAATTAAAATTGTCATAAATTTAATTCAATTAAGTTTGAGTTTAAAATCCGATTCTGATTGTTTTCATTCAACGAGGAGCGAAAAATGTCGGAAATCACAGCGTGACACTGCCAGATGAGATATAACACACACTGCCATATGACGAATGAGTAAATAAATAAATAATAGTAAATATAAATAGTATTATATTCTATAAATTTTCCGAATTGGCTCTCTTTAGAGGGTGATTTCAAAGGAAAGATTGAGTGAGAAACAACATTCTACTTCTTTATTTGAAGAGAATTCGATAGTTTAACATGTGCTAGGCCTTGAAGAAGTGCCGAGTTTGATTAGAGAGGAATCGATGGTATCGTATTTTTTATTATTCTTAAGTTAGATAAAAGGAAAAGCGCGATTTCCCACTCTGATTAACTGGCAAATTAACATTTATAATCTCATTCGTAAAGAAACAATTATCTTCGAATCTGCAAATTACAGTAGGAAAATAATCTCACGAATAAAACTCGTTTTTTTTGCCCCTCTACGATAAGATAAGTGACAAGATTGCGATCTTTAATGAACGGATCTCTTCTAATTAAGACGTGAAACTTAAAGATAGGTTATAGAAGTTGATCAATAGTTGGATTATAGAGAAGAGCGAAGAAACTTGTATCGAATAGGGTGGTAGGAGAAGAGAGAGAGAGAGATGGAAAATAGCAAACTTACCTGTTAGCATCAGTCTTTTGCCAATCTTTCCATCATAGGACTGCGTACAGTTAAGGCACTGAGTTTCTGTGTCGGCGATGTGGGCCGTAAATCTTCCGCCGGTGCCGTAGGACTGGCCTTGTCCCTAGGAGAATCGCAGGTTTCGCCTTCCATACTCGAACTACTATCCGGCAATTCGTACCTCGCATGCGTTCTCATATGACGAGTGATCATATCCCTTCTGCACGCAGCGTAAGGGCATTGAGGACACTTGTAAGGTTTCTCTCCCGTGTGGGTTCTTTGATGGGTGCTCAAATGATCGCTTCTGCTGAAAACTTGGCCACACATTCGGCAGGTGTACGGCTTGATCCCCGTGTGCAACCTCATGTGACGGGTTAGCATATCACTCCTGGCAAACGATCTGTTACACACTTCACAAACATAAGTTTTTGTCGTCGAACTATCAGTTTGGCGACTGCGGTGACGGCTAGCCATGTGTTTTGCGAGACGATCGTGTAATGAGAACATCTGACCGCAAATGGGGCAGACATAAGCTACTTCAGCTCCGCTGGATACTTCTTCGACTACCGGAGATACTTCTAGGTTGTATAATCTGTTTTCGGATCTCGGTACCTCTCCCGTTGTCATGGAATAGGTTTTGGGAATGAGAAGTCCTCGAGGACTGCTAGAAAGTGGAGCGATATCGAATGGTGTGAGAGGATAAGGAAGTCTCGGGCCTTCTTGTTCTCCTCCGTATACGACTGTGGATTGTAATAAGAGGTTACCGAATGGTTTTTCTGCCGATCGAGGTGGTTTCGTCGACAGATCGAGAGGCGAATCCTGAGGAGTCGACGGATCAGATTCTAAACTTCCGGACTTCTGAGGCATAGTTAACGGTCTGGGAGGGGGTGGCGGCGGCATAGGCGTTTCGGTTCCGCACTCTAACAACCACTGTTGAAGGTCGCTATCGGAGTGACTTCTTCGACGATGCAATTCGGGCAGCAGCTTCGATCGGAAATATCCTTCGTACCCAGCGGCCAACGACCTCTGATGCAAAGCTTCGTCCCAAACGGGCAATGCGTGGCCGATAAGTCGACCACCTGTTCTACCTGCGAGCAGACGGCAGTGATGGCAGTCGCAGATGGGAAAGGTGGGAAAACTCCCCCCTAGAGGGGGAACTTTGCTTCGACTAGCGCCGTTACCCATGACAACAGCCACTTCCGGTTCGGGAGCGGGAGCGGAAGTGGGTAGGGGTCGTTGAGAGTAGGGTGTTGGGACTTCTGCTAAAAAGGTATCGTCGCTGCTCTCCTCTTCCAAAGGGGGACTGGGAGTGGGACCACTTTCTCTTCCCCCGGCTGAGTCGGAGGTGGGGGGTGTGAACAAACCTTCTTCTGCCCCTTCGATGCTGGGATAAAGAGGTTTCCTTTCAGTATCTCCTGGACTCGACAAGCCCGAACTGCACGGAGTTGGAGTGCGAGATGACGGATGAGCTGGAGACGTTTCTTCTACCATGGCTTCTTCGAGACCCAATTTACAGCGCACGGATGCACTAATATCACTGTCTATCGACACTTGTTTCTGAGGTCGGACTTTCGGACGGGTTGATACGTTGCTGGTTCGTCCAGTCAGTTTATCTAAAACGGCACTCAAACGCTTTCTTTTGCGGTTTTTTTCGGCCAGTTCTGTCTTTCCTTCTTCGTCATGGCTACTGGTCATGGTTGGAAAACTGTCTGCCATCAAATCATGGGTCACTCCGGGGATACAGTCTGTGCCACCAGAGTGACGTCACCATTGCAACACTCTTTAGTGATGTGCTGATGATTTCCCCTCAATCATTCTCTAGTTCTTCTGTATGACTCTCCGATTCTTTCACTAATTCATCTAAATAATAAAACACAACACAAAAACTCATTAAATATAAACCTTACACACTGCTGATTTTAACCTAAATATATTTACAACAAGCGTTACAATATACAAAGCATTTTAAACTATAAATCGCTTCTAAAAATTACTTTCAAAGTCCTTTAACTACTACCTTAAAATCATTAAAATCTTTCAAAGAAACAGCATTATATCGAGTGTTGTCAGCATGTTTATCTTAATTAATTAAATTCCCACTCCGTCTGAATATGAATCATGGAGAATTTCGTGACTCATTTTTCTGCAGAAAAACATTCGTTTAGACAGACAAATCATCACAAAACAAATAAGAATTTATAAAATAATTTGGGCCAGTTCTATTTTCCGCTCAAACAGCTCGAAAATAAATTCAACTCATCGAACAATTTGATAAAATATTTAGTTTTAAATGATTAAAAGTGTATGAAATTTATTAACAATTGGAAATTTTTCGGATACAATGTTCTGGCAAGCGAAGACATCCATTACAAGATTACCTTCATGAAAGTGAAAAAGCTTTAATTATGCATCATAGAACGATCTAAAGATATCACAGTTGGACGATTCCATGGACGACAAGACGAATTAAATGAGACAAACAGGCAGTCAGATCAGTGATAACATGTTTACACGAAACTAATATTAGAAAATCATCAGTGACACTTTAGAAAGAATTGGGTGAATGGCCATGATCTTATCGAGTTTTACACACGAAATGATCAAGCGAATGGGTAGGAAGAGAAACAAAAAAAATAAATAAGTAATATGGGGGAAACTTAAGAAATTTATGTAATTATGATCTTTTCTCACGCAACTTTAATGTTGTCTACTCACGAAAACATTCAAGCCAAATTTCCTTTGTAACATTCTCTACTAACCTAAGCTACCACCTATTCTTTCAAATCTTTTGGTTTTCAGGAGATAATTAGTAGGGTTGTTATATAGGGAGTGACGTTTTGTTGTACGCTGACATTTCCGAGGAGTATCTTTTACATTCTATGGGAGGTACTCGCTTTAAAGCCAAAATATACTCTTTTCTCGTATAAGAAATATATCGATCGTGAGTACAAATGAAATTACGCTATTGTCATTGTTAAATTTTAAGTAAGTAATTAAAAAATAAAACAAAAACCACTAGTAAAGACATTAATAATTTAGTTTTTAGTATGATATAAACAAAATTTACATAAAACAAGTTCAATTTTGCCTTTTGGGCGTTGTCGAATTAACCAAACAGGTGGATTCTGTTAGCTGGTGATTTCAGCTTTTTGTTCTAAACACCTGACGTCCTATCAAAGTTTTATCAAATAAATAATAACCAATCTGTTTTAAACTTCTTTAAATATCTCCATAAAATATTTTAAAATATTTATAATGAAAGTAATACATTATCTACTCGAAACGAAAACCGTAAGATAAATAGGCCTATACCTTTGCTCTTATAGCCGAAGAGAATAAATTACCTGCGATTAGTTCTAGTAGCCTATTGTAGAACCATGATAAAACTAACAGGCCTGTCATAGGAGTAAAATTACCGTACGTTAATGTTAAGGAGGAGAATTTCGTTGGCCAAATTAAACGAGATCCATTGTAAAGAACTGCTTGTTACGACTTAAACGTACAGAACTTTGACTGAAATGACAAGGGACGAATGCAAAAAAATTCAAATTAAACTTTTATAAACTGAAAAAAAACAATNAAGTATATAAAAATTTCAAAATTTCTAGCAATTTTCTGATTTTTCAAAGTTGTTAATCACTTCATGTTTTCCTAATTTTATAAATCATATAATAAAAAAGTTTGCAAAGAACAAAATCTTAAGTCATATTTAAAATCTTTTATTTTATAGATAAAGTAGGATGCAAATGTAAGTTTAGAACTCACCTTAATTACTTGTTGATCTGAAGAATTTTCATTTTCTGCATGTCTCACCATATATACAGCAATATCTTTGTGCATTTTACTCATAGTAAAAGTTTCTGTAATAAATTCAAATATTTTAATTACAAATCACGAATCTCTCTCTATTCTAGGCCCCTTCTTTCCTCGATACATTTCGAGAGGGGAGGGGGAAAAATAGATTAACTTATAAACTATTACTTAATAATTACATATTATAAATACCGAAATAATTACAATTTCATCGTATAAATTTATTCCCCGAAACTGTGTCATCGGGGGATGGGATTATTTCTGTTATGATAAGTCCGATTTAAATGTCACGACAGATTCTATAAATGACTACAATTTAATCGGAATTATACTTAAATATAATGTATTAATTTAAGGTAAAAGTGTCTGCAATTGTTTAACGGCAAATTAAACTTAGATTTGATTGGAAAATAATAAAGAAAAAGTAGAATAAAAACGAACTCGTTCAACAAAAACATAAAAATAGGTCTTAAAGGCAATAAAGCCATTAAATAGAAAATTCACGATAGTTCTTCGCGATAAGCATCACTAGGCCATAGTTTGAGATGTAAAAAACGATAGGATATATTTAAAATATAGTTTAAATCTCTTAAGAACATTGTCATAAAGAAATTGTAGATGATGATGATGCGAAATGGCTTTCCTCTTCCCACAGATATGTCTTTTACCGAACGAACATTTATCTTACTCTATATTTTAAATGGGAAGAACAGATTTAACGAGCAGAATTAATTGGTATAATTTAATAAAAATTTATTAAATTTTCCGCCCACGAAACAAAACTTTTAGCAGCCGCAACGGTTTTGAGTGATAGGCCTTACTTACACGAAAGAATGGAGGATAATACGGCGATATTTTTGTAAAAAATAATATAGAAACGAACCGTTTGGTGAATTGTTTACGTGGCTAACGTTCTAAATTGTTAAAATTAGTAAATAAAGGAAGAATACGCGCCAATTAATTGAGATTGTAATGAAATTTAAGCAGTCATTTCTATGGAAGCAAACAGCGAGCGATAGGAAGGAAACAATTTGGATATTAAATTTTTATTCGTGACGTAAGCGGTGTACTCGGTTCAATCACAAGGGCACCGCATACAGCGCCACCCTGCGGTCTGGAAAGAAACCCACTCAGCTGTTCACCGCCACTTGGAACAAACAAATCTTTTTACGACAACTCCACTTATAGACGAGATCGAGTTCTTTCTTAAGTGGATGAAATTGGCGGAGCAAAGCCGTCTCTGCACGAGACACGGTAGCTAAAGTACAGTAGCGCGGGTCCTGAACCCGTGTTGCCGAACGACGACTCGTTCTAAGTCAGCAGCAACAGGTGCGAATATCGGAGACGTAAATCGTCTTATTCTCCGTCGGCAAACGTAACAAACGCATCAGAAACAATCGAAAGAGAATCACACACTCACCCGTATGTCCAGGTAGCAAGTAGCTGACTGCCGAACCGTCTAGGCTGCGAGACAGCAGAAAGGTGACTAGCGAGGTACCCTCCCAGCCCTGCGGCTCCCTCGAACAGCGGGGGCGGGCCAGGGGCGACCGGGACGCTGGACGCCTGCCAGTGGCTGAGAAGCGAGTACCCAGCCTTCCTCTACACCAGCGGGTTGGCAAGTGGCAAGGCTGCAGGTCACCCGTTAGCGCTCCCCTCTGCACGCCCGTCTATTAACGGGTTTCGCCCGCCATCTCGTAATGACGCGGAATGTCGGATTGACGGACGCGTCGGCGCGCGTCACGCACTCCCAATACAGGCGCCAATTCTCTTTCCACCGATTTTAGAAGTGTTTCGCATCGAAAAAAACACTGACAAAATAGGTTAGGCCACGAGTTTATCTACTAATTTCCCGAGCTAATCTCCCAAATTCGCAAGTGTATGCGCGGGGAGGAACGTAATAAATTACACAAAAGAGCATCGTTTAATCTTTAAAACTCCATCAAAATTTTTAAATAAATGGCAAAATTAATTAATTAAAAAAATTCTAACATCTTCAAACACTAAATTAAAACAGTAATATCTATAAGTTTTAATCGAATGTTCCATTGTAAAAAAAAGCAAAGACATTTAGTGTATGACATAAGCCAGTGTATTAATAATCCGGAGGCCATAAATAACTTTCAATAAAAATCAGATTTATTGAGACTATTAAGGACTTGGAATATTTGCATTTAGATGAGAGTCAACAACCACCACATTAAAGTATAGGGTGTACTAGTCGAGAAACAAGGCTCGAAGTTATTTCATTGCTAAAAATTCCACCTTATTTCAATAAAGTAACATATATTTTACTTAATAAATTCGATATTTATAATCAGCAAGTAGAATTTACTAATGAAATGAAGATATACTATGCAACTAATTAATGTTAAGTGAATTAATGTCATCGATTTTCATATTAATATTGCAAGAAGATATTTATTTTAAAAAATAAATCATTATTTAATAATGTAATATAAAATATTAGATAAAATCGATATTCTTTTATGACTTTTTCTATGAAAATTATTAATTTTAGAAAGAATCCTGAGTAAGGATCAAAAGTTCTTGAGCGCCGGCTCAAGAGCTTTTGATTTAATCTCTATTATTTTTAAACTGATGGATTTTAAACAATTTGCAATTTTAAATTAATTGAGATAAATTCGTATGGTTTAACGATAACATTCAATCAAATATAGAAGTATTTATAAACTATTGATACATTAAAGAAATCCTTCAGAGATAGAAAGAGGGGAGGGGAATTTCAATGTAAGGATTTGTGTGGAATGTTTCGGATTTATAAACGGTGGATTAAAAAAAAAATGCGTTGAAAAATTTTAAGGAAATATTAATCCGAAAACGATTAGAAAGTTTCTTGATTGATAAAAACGGCGTATAAGAAGAGGAGAGAAAAATTTTAAATTGCAGCAGGAAGCGAAAGTGAATGAAATCAGTAGAAAGCGGCAGTGTAAATGGGCAGCTGCCTTTTTCGGTTTCTAATTTATCTTACTGGTTTTGCTATCATTTGATTTCGCCATCGAACTCGGCCGCATCTGCTCTACCCGGCAGGTGTTACTTGATTGCTTTTTAAATGCAACGGATCGGACAGATGCGGAACATTAACACCAATAACTTCTCCCGATGGGAATTCCCCATTTATCCTCTCTTCACTCGGTAAATTTACTATTAGATTACCCACGCGAACAATTACTCAAAATCTTCCCCCCCAAAAAAAGAGACATTTGTAACGAATGGGATAAAATCGATTTCTGAAGTCCCCCGATTAACATTTCGTAATTAAAACTCCTAATAATTAATTATATAAAGTATTATTCGCTTTATAATGTTATAAATGTATTCATAATTAATTAAATGTAACGTAAAAGCGTTAAGAGCGAAAGTTAATTGAAAACAAAGCGAAATTCCCGCCTTTGAAACAACGCATGTCATCACACTCCTCTTAAGCTCTAGAGAAAACAACGAACAACAATAGTGACATCTATCGACAATAAAAGAAAGGAACAAAAACAAAACTAGTATTTTGTTCACGCATACAAAAAGAATTACGTAGAGTTGTATTAATTTCCGTACTCCTGTTAACAACTAAACAGAGCACGTTTAAAGATAACAAGATCCCTTATAAAAATCTAACCATTTCACAGCGTATTAGATTAATCGGGCCTTCAATTCTTTCCCTATAATTATCATTTTCTAGAAAACAATACATTTACTAACCATCCATTAATAATTAAATAAGTTAAGCTATACAACTGATCGATCGATTCTGTTGTAGGCGTAAGTCGTTCGACTTTTAATTACTTTTAAACTATTCCTAAATTGAATTTTCCTTCTCGATTCTTGGAATTTATTAATACTTAACAAAGGCTAATGTTATCTTACGTGAATTTCTTTCTTTTTTTTTTCTTGTATATTTTTCCACCTTTTGATATGGAAAACTACTTCATCATTGGTGGAATTCAGTTAAAAAAAAAATATATATATATTTTACATATATATATATATACTACAAATCAGTTACGGGGATCAATAAGAATTTACATAAGAATTCGCATAAAAAAGTGGTGCAATACGGATTAGAAAGAAGAAGAATTTGAGAAATCTTTACATTAATAAAGATGAAGATTTTCTTTTAAGCTATCGATAACTACGAAGTATTATTAATTAAAGATAAAAGGCAAGCATATTTGTTTGTTTTTGTTTTAATCAAAAGAAACACCAGTACCTAATTCGGGCGACGACCTGCGACAGACCGACGTTGCTAGTGGCCATATACGACGCATCGACAATCTCTCGAGACGATTCGGACGAAGTCGATTCGTGTCCCTTTGGCGTTTTGACAACACTAGCGTGGTCTGATCACGTGACGCCTACCATCCCACTATGACGTCGAGAGCGCGTGCCGATAACTTCCCCGTATGCCGATGCACACAATTGCTTTACTTCGTTCCTATTCTTTTCCGTACGGCTCGAACTATAAAAAGAAACGAGTCCGGAGGTAATGCGGATCTACTAAACCGCTCTCTAATCTACTTCCGTTTTGTAACGTTTATTTATTTATTTTTTCGCGCGCGCAACACACAAACATACACACGTTGACTCCATTTTTCGGGAAACCACCGACTGCCGTCTCGCGGTTTTTAACCGTTTCGGTTGTTATGACAACAAACGGAAATATTTACTCTGTCGTCGTCATGCGCGCAGACGGAATATGCGAAAGGCACGCGACGTCACGTGACTGGTGGGAGTTGGCTGCGTTTCTAGGTCAAGCGGGGAAGCTCATCGAAATGACGTCGACGCTTGGCTCACCTGTCACGTGGCCCGCTGACGTCAGCCCGGAATGGTATCTTTCTGTATTTTCCTTTAAATTTTATACGTTTATACCGAATTTATCGGTAAAAGTCTCGACTTTACCGATTAAAAATTTAATTAATTTTAACGCAAGAATATTTTATTTTTAAACATTTTAATCTCTCTCTCTCTCTCTCTCTCTCTCTATAAAACTATGTACTGTACTCTACGTATGTCGTTATCCATAGCAACCAACCTTCCCACACAAAACGCAAATTATGCAAATCAGATTTCGATACGCATTTTATAGACTTTTATAAACGGAGATTTCTTAAAGAAGACGATAAGAAGATTATTTAATTATTTATTATTATTTATTTTTTTTTTAGTATTATTATCATTTGTGGCTACGATACTCACTTGTTAATGTACTGTGTATGGAAGCTTTTTATTTCAAATCAGAGCTTGTTTCCACGGTTAAAAATTCGAGTCTACATCGCGGAACTTACATCAATCAATGATTGATTACATACTTTCTTCCTCTGCAAAAGATAATCCAAATCAAATTTTTATTAATATAAATATTTACATAAAAATATTTAAAAAAAAGAAAAACAACTCTAGATCTATAAAAATATTTCACAAAAGTCTTTTAAAAATTATCTTGGTTAAAAAAAAAAAAACTCGAAATCTTACATCAGCTGGGGTAACGGACCGATAGTTACTTACGTCATAATCGTTGCCATGACGACACGTAGATACGAATTACATAACACGGGATATATTCCGCGAGCGATAACTACATTTCCTGATTGCGCTTTGCTGGTCAAACACGTCGAAAGTCGAGAGGACAGGAAAGAAAAAGAAAGAGAGAGAGAGAGAGAGAGAGGAAAAAAAAGAACTGAAATATCCGACGTCCTTGCGATGCAACCTCGATCACGTGACCAGCACGCGTCACGGCGGCGTGTCACGTGACGCGAGCACACGTGCAAAAAAGCAACTGGTTGCGAAGACGAAAAATTTAAAAAAAAAGGAAATTTTTTCGTCCCGTCTACGTAAAGGTCAATTAGATAACGCGAGTGTAATCGCTCGCTTCTTATCGTTTCCTATTTTTTTAAAGTATTAATTTAATAGGCAAAAGTACGTTTGAAATTATAAAAATGTCCGAGTGCAATTGTCGTCATGCGCGAGAACGGATTTAAAAAAACAATTAAAAAGTCGGTGGCGCCGCCACCGGGAGTTTGAGAAAGTTTAAGAAGAGAGAGCGGAAGTGAAGGAGTGACGCAGAAAGTTGGAAAGTAGCTTAGGGGCGAGAGAATGGTGTGGAGAGGTGAGAGAGAGAAAGGGAGAAAGGAAAGAGCGGCATCTGTTAAGGGATCGATGGAGCGAGATTCATTAACGCGACCTTGACCGTGGACACTTTCGTCGGACGGCACGCGACCCGTAATGAAGCCGGGCACACCCCCGTTTTCGATCTTAACGCATGCAGACAAAGCAATACCGGCACCTCAACTTTTCGGCACGTTCCCATGCGACGGAAGCGTCCACTCTTCGGGATCGGTGTCGGCTCGTAACTTGCAAAGAGGAGACGGCTGGCTTGTGTGGCTTGGAAGACGTCCTGGCTCGGGAGTGACGGGGTTGTTGCGACCCGTTGACGGCGTATAAGTTGTTCTGACCGCGAGACGTCAGTCCAACGTCCGAACTTTATAGCTCGTCCATACTCCCTGTTAAACCCGGGCCGGCGTCGTCATGGTAACACAATGACGCACGCGAGATGCTGTTGTCATGGTAACCGGCCTGCAGTCTGTTACCGACCGTTTCAATGTCAAGGTCGCCAGCACCGGCAACACAAACAAGCGCCGAGAGAAGAGACAGGTAGCGAAGAGAGTTCTCTTCCCCTCTTCCCTTCGATTTCTTCCTGATGACGAACGTGCCACGTGCGATGGCCGACTATGACGTCACGGCCACTATCTTGCCTTGGTAATTTTAAAATTAATAAAAACGCGAGTTTAAAACCCGCTTCTTTCTTCCATCCGATTTTTTTTCTTTTTAAAAAACACACGTCCTTCCGATAAACAAATTACGCGCCGCATTTTTTAATGGCCGAACTAAATTTTATTTACCGAATCATTGACGTCATATCGGGGCTCTTGGCAAATACTCCGATGGAGAGAGAGGAAGAAAAAAAAATTAGGAACGGGAGAGGCGAACACCGGGCTTTGAAAATCCTCTTCGTGCACATTGGAACGTTGCATTAACAGGGACGGAAACTCGGCGGTGTCGAAGTTTTGCTCCGTCCATCGAGCGACCTAGGTGTTCGGAGGCCGGTCACGTGACCAAGGTCGGCGCTGGCGTGGCGCCAGTACAGATTCTCGCTAACGATCGATAGGGTTCTGCGTGCGTCACTACTTCGCTCGGGGATCCTGGAAACGGACAATTGTGGACGACGCTCATGCGCCTTTCCCCGCAACCTTCCGTCCTACCCTTCCCTAACGTCTACTGAAAAACTCGATACGGTATTTTTTAATCCCTTAAATGTAGGCCCTACCAAAATTTCTGTTGGATAAATCTCGGCAGCGTGCTCCCTATTAATCGATGCACTTCGTTTAAAAGATTATTATTATTATTATTTTATTTTTCTAGTATTTTAAATATATCCATCGATCTTCTAAGTAATATATATATATATATATATATTTTAAAGCGAGAAAGGGGAAAATAAAAAAAGGGGGAACCGACTAGGCGACTGTCCCGGATGGAATAATTTGGTAGGTCTCCGTGACAACACGTCGGATGATGTCCGTGTGTATGTACGGATCGGTGTTTCCGAGCGAGCGAACTTTTCTTATCTCCGTTCGCATCATCCAGGCCTAACATTAAGGGGGTGTGTATGGCGACATCCCCACAGGCGTCAACTTAAAAATTCTAATTACTGCTTGCCTCCTGTTGCGAAGGGCAATGCACGCATGCAACTGTCACACTGCGTTCATTTAGAGCTAATGAACAGCTCTGTCTCGAGAAGGGGCCAACGGGTGCCTCATACCTTTCTAAAAGAAACAGCTATTAAAGAACGATAAAAAAAAAAAAGGAAAAAAAAAAGAGCATTTAAGGCCGAGTCGCCGGTTTGGCACTGACGTGAATTTATTTCTTTGAATAAAAACATTAAGCCGAACTTTTAGCCAGGATAATAATCGTTGGAGTCCGAGAGAAGATCGATTTTTCTATCCTTTCCTTCCGTAGTGGATGTATGGTTCCAATTTTACGGATGAACCCGACTTAATATTACACGATGCTTATTAGCATCCTGGCGCCAATCTGCTGGAATTCCTGCTTTTACATACGTGTGCCACGAATTTTATATACAATGGAGCATCGACCGATTAGAAATTTACTGTATCCATCTTCATATTAAAATAATATAGACTATATATATCGTTCATTACTTACTTTAATTTAAAAGAGAATTTTCGTGAATGGATTTTGCATAATTAAATAGCATTTCGGAGTGTTTGGAGCCGGGAATGAAAGAGGGAAGGGTTGGCACGGCCTACGCTGGGGAAAGGGGAGGACAGTGAACCCTAACGTGACATTCCGGCAGCCGGCAGCCTTGCCTCCAGGGGAGTGTGTCCACTTTCCCAGGACCCCCCGCCATCTGATAAGGGCGAACAGGTATAGCCCGAAGCGACGACGGTGCGGACAACAGACTTGGCCTCCCGCACCTTCCTACCCACTCCGAACCGTCTGCCGGAAGTCTGTGGCGCGTCACATCCGGTGGATGATGACATCACGTAGCCTTGGCAACGTTTGAATTTGGCTGGAGCGCGCCGTCTTCCGATTCAAATATGTAAACAAACAGCGGTTGGCAGAAATGCTGTTAGATCGAAGTCGACCGATGCTCTGTATGCGTAGCTTTGTTTATCGGAAGTCATTTTCAAGGCCGAAGTCGCAAGATGGCAGACGTCGCTGGTTTCTCTCTTAACACCAGATTTAGAAGTGTTCGGTATTTCCAGTGTAAGAATATTTGAATTTGAAAGAATTCGACATCGGTGGGCGCTGTGACCTGGGCGTACATCGGCAAGGGAATTTAAGTAGTCTAGCTCCTTGTCTTTTTTAGAAAGCGTCTCGACAAGACCCGACAGAAAGGAACGTCACAGGTCACAAAAATGGGCTTAATAGTCCCGTTCTACCTGTCCCGCGTCTCGTTGACAGGTGTTCGCCATCACTCTCTCTTAAGTGGATCCTTCTATATTCGGGTGCAATTTTCCCACGACGAATAGAAATTTTCTCGGGGTGGTGGGGGTGCGCGACAAAAAATATTAATATCCCGCTAGTTCTGTCAATGTCAATAGCGTTCTATTGTAGAAGCAGAGTCAAGATCCATCTCTGCGGGAGCTAGAACGGGAGACACACAAAAAAATTTCAACGTGTAACAGTTTCTCCCAAACGTTATGGGGAAAGCGAGGGAGCAACAGATGTCGGGGGTTGAGGGGGCGTCTTGTGGGGGAGACCAGCTTTCTCAGGGTCTAAGGCGTGGGAGAAGTTACGTAAGAAGGCCCGATCGGAAGTCCTACCTCACGACCACCCCTGCATCCAAGGGGGAGCCGAATTAGCTGTCCGAAACCCCCAACACACAATAAGAAACCCCAAGTAAGGGGTGGGACTTTGGGAGACCCCCGTGTGCTGCATCGGTCCCCGAGATTCTCACGGGTTCACCCGAAGGAGGGCAACCTCTTCAATGGCATCGTTTGGTCAACACATCATTAGCTTACACGGCTTTCCATTATTAGTTGGGACGCGGACCCGAAGCTGTGGGAACTCGTTGCACGCGCCACTGTGTAACGGAAGCCGGAAAGAGTAGCGGGAGGGTGGACGACGCTAAATGGACCGCTACAAAGGACTTCCTGTACGCTCGAGTTATCCGATAGCTCACCAAAACGGAATACAGATTCTGAATGGAGAAGCCGTTAAACGGAAGTTGCCCCTTCACCACACCTTAGACTCGGATTTCGGCGCTTATTCTAATTGCCAGCGAGTCCAGTTACATTCGTTACTCCATCTTGCTGTGGGAAAATTGAAGGTTGAATTAACCGCCCGAAATTGTTTATTCGTTAGAAAGCTGCCATCATTACACACGATATCACTTTTGATCCAGTCGATAAGATATGCGTGATCTTCGACTATAACAATGAAATGCTCTTCAAATCATTGTGATAACCAATCTCACCAGGCCTGTCATCGAAACCGACGGCCCAAATCTTTCTTTCGGTTGCCAACATTCTGCTTTATTTATTGAAAAATGTCTGCAAACACAACCGAGATACCATCGTTGCCCAATGATGGACTAGCCTCATAACTTATCCTTTGTAGTTAGTTCCACTCGTAACTTTTTCAATCTTTAAAACAATGCCCTCAGCTAAAGTATTTTCAGATAATGCCACTTTCTAACAGCAAATTCGTTAATAATTCTGTTTAATTCTTCCGCAAAACTGCATTAAAATCTAATACATCCTTGTACGTACTTTTAAAGATATGCCGACAAATCCACGAGAACAACAGAAAATAATCGTACCTGTGTGTGCTGTGTCTTCCAATTCTTCCACATGTCGCTTACATAAAGTTGCAATTTACGTAATGTTTCTTAAATTGTAACTTAGATAAAATTGCTCACTAATACATAATATAGTTGTTGCCATTTTTTAAATTAACTTGGTTTTCTGTATTGTCAAGTCTACGTCACAGTAGGCAAAAACTTATTACTGCCATCTAGCGATAGGTCTTGGCAATAATTTCTCAATATGAAATGTAATTAAATTCATGTTTTATGTAAACAATTAATAAAATTTATATATTTTTATAAAGTATTTATTGTATTCACTATTAATGCCATAGCATTAAAGTTATTACATTAATATTAATCAGCGAGTTGAAACCAGGATTGGAGAGGTTTGGCTGCGTTGAAAAATAGCAAATTTTAACAGTTTTCGAGGTTCTGAAATGTTTTTTAATTAAAAAAAAAAAGACTAAAGATGAAGTAGAATAACAAATTTGATTTATTATTTAATAAAGTTTTCTCACAATTCAGGAAAAGCCACGTTAAAGCTTGGTATGTAATTTCTTTTCTGTAGCAAGATGCGCGATTTTGGAGTACTTGAGTTGGCTACAGCATTATAAAATAAGAGGTAGGGATGATGATGATGATGATGCTAGCGGCAAAACCACAAAAATTCTAGCAGTGCACACGCAACCTAGCTACTAACCGAGTCCAACTAATGGCACAGCCCGAGGCTAACCACCACTCCCCTTATTAAAGAAAGTCCCGCGTCGGATGATACACAGTCACCCACTTATCGGTACCTTTATGATAGTTCTAAAACTAGTCCTACCGTTCTCCCGACGGACGGGACTAGAATACAGCATCGAAAGACCACCTGCTCACTAAATCCAGCACAACCATGTTTAAATGCTTAGATCTTTCTTTAATGACGTTCATAAATACTTATAGAAAACTGTTGGACTGTAGAATATTAATTAACCAGATCAATGTTTCGAATGTATATTCCAGTATCGATGTATGTATTCTAATTCATCCGAGACAAGGAGGCTGTTTGGCAAGCAACAGACCAAGTTAGAGATTGCATTGACTGTAGCATATAATTCTCTAGTAGAACATCCATCATCTTACAACACTTAAACTGTGGGGGGAATGATGGCCAAAAGCGAGC